TGTCTGTGTGAATTAACATAGATTGAGAAGGTTTTTGTTTGGAAGAGTTTTTCATAAACGGAAGGAACATGTTTTTTTAATCGGGAGGGGCAGATTTAAAAAAACCTAGGTTTTTTGCATAAAGCTTCCCCTTAAAAGCTTATCGAATAAACCACTTTCTATATATTTAAGACACTACTAAACATTCATGTATAGCTAACCCAAATAAGTTGTGAGTCATATTAAGCTCGTTAAACTACTAATAAACAGACCTTTTCTCCCCCTTTCGCTTCTTAATAACTTATAGCAAGCTTAATCAGCAACAAAACGACCCGTATACATCTAACGGTAAAACCCCTTTGTATGTCCGTAATATGGTATAAAAATCAAACTAACTCAAAATTTAATGAATGAAATGCGAATCAAACAAAACATAGCCAAATTGTTGAAAAATTATCAAAATTAGATAGATAAAAAAATAAAGTTTTGATCTTTATGAACAAGTTTAACTCTTTAATCCAAAAGATTATAAAAATTAAACCTTTATAAATAAAGACGGTAACTTTAAAATCCAAAATCAAAACACCCCAAAACGAACAATGCAACACAGAACAATGAATCATGGTTCTAAAAGAAGAAACATTATCATTAATGAATCAAGAACACTTGCATTCGTTGAAGAAATTATAAGTATTAAAAATCGAGTTAGAATCTACATGGAGACCAACATCAACAAAGTACTGATCCACCATGGCTCCCCAAAGTCTGTTGCAAATGAGGGGACTATATATATGTGTGTGTGTGAATTTGAACAAATTCCTTCAGAATGTGAAAAAGAGACTTACCTTAAATAGGAAGAACTGGAAATTTAATTGTCATCTTCGTTGTTTATAGAGTTGTGTGCACGAATTATGATGTTAGGATGATCTCGTGGCCGAAACCCGAACTAATTTGTTAATTTTCGTTGATCTCTTTTCTTGTATTTTCCATTGAGAAGAAGACTGTGAATTGGATTTTGGGTCTGGATGTTTCCTCCCTAAGTCCATTGCAAATGAGAAACTAGAGAGAGAGAGAGAGAGGAGGGTTATGGGCGTGGAATATAGATTGTTTCAACCGAGTGAAGATGCATACACTAAATTTAATCCAATCAAAGTGAAACAAACTTGGCCATATAGATTTTAAGATAAAAAGATCAAGAAAATAATGAAAGAAAGATGGATTTTTCGCCTAGCAGTCATGTATGATCAAACTTCATAAATGATGTGTTCTTCATCTCCACAAAAGAAATTTTCAAATGGAAAATCATGGCAAAGAACATTTGATTTTTGCTGGAAAGAATATTTTACCTTGGTAGCCCTCCTCGTATTGGAGCTTTGACCTGATCCATTGAAAAGGATCATTTGGGTGCTATGATTTCTTTCCATTGTCGTGTGATAGCATCTGCAATTGATAACTCCTATGCATAATTTACTATTGATAAAAGAATATGGTTGATGATGTTTAACTAAATTTGACAATAATAAACCCACGATGGAAAATCTACGATTGCACTGCACTAAAATGTCAAAGTTCATGACAATAAGTGTGAACTACTAACAAAGATATATGTCATATAAGCTTAGCATGTGGCTTAAGCATCTTAAGCATCTGAAAGATGGTGTGGCCAATAAGACCAAATATAGAGGTCTTTGATGAAGTGCATTATTGAATATGCAAAATATTTGAGAAATGCTAATATAATGATCTCAAAGTAATATGAGCATCAAATTGTGCATCCAATAGCATCATGATGTCACTGTAACATCTTGATACTCATAGACCATCCCTTACCAAAGGATTATACATTTTCAACAGATCGCCAATGCAACCAACTCTTGCTATCTTGTTCATGGCAGAGAAAAGGCATTCAAAAATAGATTTTCTTTGTTACATCAACTCCACTAACACACATTTGGTCTTGTATACCTGATAGGCTACTTCTATGCACCCCCACCACCAACCCAAAAAGAAGCCAAATGACAATCTCCCTAATTTGCGTATCTACATAGAAAGGGCAGAAAATGAATAACAACAACAAAGATATTAGCCCTATGTGATTCTTTCCATTAATAAACATATTCAAGTACCAACAATGCTATCTTGGTACATCTCTTCATTTCCCTGAATAAATATTAAAACAGTAAAACGAGTAATAATCTATAACTAATAAAAAATGTCAAAACATGCAACATGAACTAGATATGATTCTCCTGCTTGTCGTCATCAATTGATGTAAAATCAACAAATAGAAAAGTAGAAAAGTACGTATATCTACGATGTCATTGTCTCATTTTTCAAATAACGAGGATGGAATTGGGAGCTTTATAAGGTAGAAAAAGTTAACGTGCTATAGCAAACAATATTGTCATACCCCTTTATAAACCTGTTGAAACTATATAGCTCTGCAACTGGAACATCTCCTTGACAAAGTATTCCAATTCGTTAGTTTCATCTTTTGACATGGGCCTCCACAACTTTGCATCCAAAACATTCTCATGTTGTATAATGTACCAAACATCATTCATATAAGCATATATGCACCCTTTAAGTTTCATTACCATGAACAATGGTTTGTAACAAACATGAAGTTTATAGATTGTAACTTACCAACAAGGTTTTATTAATCGTGTGCATCATTAGCCCCACCCCCATCCCCCGGGGGAAATCCTTCTTCAGGTGGGATATATTGGGCTCATATGGTTTGGTTTATTTATATCACCGCCACTATTACTACTAAAATGGAGTTCAAGCTAATGAAATGACCAAAAGATCTAGTCACTCGATTATCATTACCACAAGGACTATGACATCCAAGAAACCAAGTCTTCCCTAATTATCAGTCCTTACTTTGTGCTATTGTTAATTTCATAGTTGGTTTTTTTTCTTGGAGGAGTCCTATAAGGCATGATTCCTACTGTGCAGAAGTCAAACAGTGTCAATCATTTAAATTTGGGTATAGAAGTGCAAAAAAAACTAATAGCTAATGGTTGAATCCTTTTGTATGGTGGCATAACTTATTTCCCATCAGATTTGAGATATGTATGGCATCCACATTATCATAGAAACATGTGCCCACTTTATCTTGATGAATTAAATCAGGCCGAACATGATGACAGTGTAAAGATTTTGAAGCATCCCAAGTTAATTTTGTTATCCTGTATCCGCTCAAGATATTCATGTCAAACATATCCTATTGTGTTTGCAAGTATATTAGTAGATGAATGCTGACGTTTCTAGTAATTCTTTCATTTTGGAAGGTAATGGAACTTTTATCTCATGATGAGTTTCGGACATTTGTATAATGAGGTATTGCTTGTAGATAGGAAGGTTAAGAAGGTAGTTTTGGCATATATCCTTGAACCACAATATTTTATGTATAGCTTCTCTCAGGCTTACCATCTCAGCCTTGTATATCTTAGCAGTGAAATTGGAGTTGCTATATGTTGAACTCCATGAACGTCTAGTTTTTTGGTAAAATCAAGACTGTTTGGTTTAACTACCAACATACTGCAGAGCTAAGCCTCTTGGAAATATGGGAGCAGAACCATAAGGGAACTCAACTAAGCCACCGGATTTTCTACTTTAGTCGATGCAAGGGATGACCATGTGTTGCAAGATAATGGATGAGAAGAAAAGGAGGTTAGATAGTCATAGAAGTTAACTAGTCTAGATTTTATATACATATTTTCTAGAGGAAGTTTGATTTATACCATGATGTTGTTCCTTTTAATGGACATTCACAATAAGGTTGCTCAATTATTCCCAAAAATATAATTGAACCCATCATATTTGTTCTAGCTGGGAGATTTTTTGCAGGGAGATACAGAACTTCTGGGCTTCTATTGATCAATGTGTCGATATTGTTGAAGACTAACATGACATCATTCGAGCTTGATATGAAAATAAAAAGTATTGCCTATCACATTTGCTCAAAATGCCTTAGAGGGGAGAGATAATGTTTCACAGGCGCTCGATATAAATGGCAACCATTGATGTTTGGACTAGCTGGTTATGTGGGCAGAAGCCTTAAGCAGCAAAAGGTAATGGATGGTTGCATAAAGTTTCCCAATATGGTCACAAGTGCATTACCCGTCGTAGGCTTGATTTTAGGTGATGTCTCGAGGGCATGGAAATCTAGGTTTGTAATTGGAATTGAAGCTTGACTACTTCAATCGTTTAACTTATCTGTTCCAATCCCAAGGCACAAAACTGGAATCTCCAAACATATCCTTGGTGCAAGTGTGATTTTAATTAATGAGCTACATCTAGTTTTTATCATTATGTTATGCATTATGAATATACCATATTAGCATATTTCTAACCATCATGTTGTAGAGGAAGTATAGGGTTGACGATTACATGGCATTAGAGAATGAAAAAAAATGATAAAAAGGCCTATTCTCCATTGTAAAACAAGTGAAAGCCAAGAACTGGTGATAATGATAAAGATGATGATGATATCCAAGACTAAGATAATCCATGAGGTACTCGAAGTAAGAAGTTCAAACCTTGTGGCTATGTTCAGCCACGTATTCTTCTATCCGCTGGCCTGTCTCACAAACATTGTCATTCTAATCTATGAACACCATTATAGCGTAGTTATATGTACCGTTAAAATTATTACTGTATTCCTGTATCACGGTACATGGATGCATGAAGTGAAAATATTTAACATGTAAGAACAACAAATCCTTTGCCATGGAGTTTGTTTCAAATGCTAACCCTCATACTCTCAACCTACAACAATAGATGAATAGATACGGATCATGATCCAATCAACCTTATCCCCACATACTATTAAGCAAATGACTGTCACATATCTTCTAACAGTAAAGTACATAACAAAACAATAATCAAACAATGACCACTTACAAATTGTATATAAAAGAACATTACCATTTTGACTTTGAAAAATACCATATCTTATGAAGTAATCTTGCCTGTATGAGTTGCAACTCAGATACAAAAATTGGGATGAGCGGCTAACTAGCAATACATTGGAAACCTCTGCAAACCCAAAGCCATATCAGGAAGAATACAACACAAACTATGAAATCTATAGACAAAACCACCATGACTTGTTTTTTCCAAATGTACTTAGCCTTTTGCAACCTACGACCACTTGAAACGGTTATGTCGTCATCAGATAAAGCATCCAACTTTTCTTCCTCTAGTTCATCCTTGTTAGCCTCTCCAAAAAACCTTTTCTTCATCTTTAAGCCCTCCAAGGAAGAATTATTCCTCCTAACATATTCTAAACTCTCACGATGATCTCCTTTCAAACCTATTGGCGAGAACGTGATATTGAATTCTGAATATGATCCCATAAGATGTTGAAATACGGGACTAAGTTCTCCTTGGAAGCAATGTGAATTTGGAGAATGCAAACGCTGCTTCATCGTGCCAGAACTACACTCATCTATCATACTAGTAAACTCATCTTTTATACTCATGAGAAATGATAAACACTCGGGTTTCTCGAGCAATTCATCAAAGATTCCAAAATATACAAAAGGATCAAGGATGAAGAACATGTATGTTTGACCATGAACAGTATGGGAGAAGATGGAATGATAGGATGGCGTTCTGTCTAGGCACTTCTTAGCTAAATCGCCAAGATCTGCATCTTTGGAATTGAATTCAGCAAGAATCGTAGTATGTTTTGCAATGCATACGTAGAAGAATAAATCAGGGTTCCGACTCATCTTTGAAATTGATCAGATCTCCCTCCCCCTCCCCCTATTTAGCTAAACAATTACTCCATAAAACTGAAAAATCAATTGCTATATATGATTATTCGTTGCATATAAATTAGCGTTAAGGATGTATTCATTGATGCTTTTCCCATAACTCACGTCTCAAATCTTCACAGATTGAATCTACTGAGAGACGATTAGAACCTCAAGCTCCATGGAATATTGATGTCTCTTGGTGATCCGTTGTTGGGGACTTGGGTGATAATTATATTATTTTTTTATTTTTTCAATATCTAAAATTATATGGGATGTGAGAGGTTCAAAGAGCTTTTAAGGTTTATACATTTAGCTTTATAAAGTGTACCTCTTAAAATTTTCAAGATACTGAAACTCATGTTTTTTTAATATAGTATAGATATAAATACACAGACATATTCATATAACTAATTGCGTAGTTTTATTAAATTTATATGTATAACTTAATCTAATTCTTTTGTTGTTATTAAGTTTACACCAAATAACAAAAACATACAAATAGAGAACAAGAATTAAGCAAAAAAAATGGAGTACATTATGCTCCAAACAAAAATGAGAATGAAACTCAAATTAGATAAACATCAATAAAATTTTATACTGCAAACAAATATAAATCAAATTTTATCAAATTTATATAATTATTAAAATAATAATAATAAAGATTATTTTTAATTTTTTTTAATCTTAAAAATATTAAATTTATAGTATTAAAAAATATGTATTTTAATTAATACATTATCAATTAATTAATATGAAATTGATATAAAATAGAAAATAGACAATTAAAGATAATATTAAAAAAATATGAAAGAGTTAAAATAATAAATCAAAAGCATATAACGGGACGCTTGATTCATCGAAATCCGCCGAAATCGAATAGAATTGGAATGTTCAGTTCCATTAACCAAATTCCATTCCAATGTTTCATTGCCCATGGAATGGAATTGAATTCCAAAAATTCCCAAATTTAAGGAATTCACCATTCCTTGGTAAACCTGATGGAATTGAAATCCATTCTATCCAAAAGTGTTTAAATGACATAAATACTCTCATTCCACTATTAAACCCTAGACGCTGCTTTCATCGTTGCATACCGCTTGCTTTCATAGATCGAACAAGAACGCTTTCTGCTTGCTTTCATCGATCGAACTTCGAAGCTTTCTACTTGCTTCCATCGTTGAGGTCGGTTTTCTCATCTACAAACCTGTTTTCTCAAACCTGAACCCGTTTACTGCTTCGATTTCTGATTTACGTACCTGTTTACTGCTTCGATTTTTGATTTTTCCATGAACCTGTTATTTCTGCTTCGATTATTGATTTCTCAAATGTGATGTTATTTCTGCTTCAATTTTTGGTAGCATATATTGTTTCTAAACAAACCAAATGTGCAAAGTACTGTTTGGTAGCAGATACCGTATCTATTTATTGCTTCGATTTCTGATTTCTCAAACATCATGTTATTTCTGCTTCAATTTTTGGTAGCATATATTGTTCCTAAACAGACCAAATGTGCAAAGTATTGTTTGGTAGCATATATCGTACTTGTTTATTGCTTCGATTTCTGTTTGCTTTCACTATCAATTTATGCCACTGTTGAACTAGTTTTGGATGATAATGTATATGTATACAATTTCTGCTACCRTTTGCTTTCACTGTCAATTTATGCCACTATTTGAACTAGTTTTGGATGATAATGTATATGTATACAATTTCTGCTACCATTTGCTTTCACTGTCAATTTATGCCACTGTTTGAACTGGTTTTGGATGATAATGGCATATATATGTATATAACTTGACGTGTCAACTTGTATGAATGGTTCGGTTTATGGTTGGTTGAATTTTTTATGTTTTATGTTTATATATAATTCAATAAATGGTAAATATTTTTTTCCTCATTAAATGTTAATTTTATTGTTATTTGTATTTTAAAAAAATTAAATTAAAAAATATCGAAGAAAGGGTATTTTTGTCTTTTTTCATCATTCCATTCCAATTATGTTGCAAACCAAACAAACTGATTCCAATTCATTAGACATATTAAATTTCATTCCTACCAACCAAACACTTGATCAAACCTGATAATATTTCATTTCAATTCCTTTCAAATTTCAATTCTTTTGACAGATTCTATTTCTTCAGAAATCATTCTGCGAGGGGTTAAAATAAAAATTATGAAATGTTAGAGATAGAACAACTAGATGACGTAATAACATGTATATATATTGAATCGAAACAGAAAACTACAGTATTCGAATAGAATTTTCACACGAAGAACTTAAATAACTTGTAATCATAAATCTTACTTGTAGTCGAAGATTCGTCGTTCTGAATATCGTTTATGAAATCCGATTGAGGCCCACGTAAAACGCAGTACCTAAGACAAAATTGCATCGGTGAATCGGTGTTGTCTTGAGGATACAACAATCAATCCAATTTTGAACTTGAATCTATCGAATTAAGAGTATGATTAGTGATGGATTCGTATGGAGAAAAAACGAGAGAGATACTGGGATTTTTTGCGGGTTAGGCCCTGTCTATCAACACCTATCGAGTCTCTCTGCATCAACCGAGAGACCCAAGGCCCAAGGTCCTAATCTTGACATTTTAATATATATATATATATATATCAAGAAAAGCCACCAAAAACAATGCACACCAACTCCAAACAATTAAATAATTGATTTAATGCTCAAGGGTTGGCATTTATTAGTTGCATTTTATTAGGGTTGGCATTTATTAGTTGCATTTTATTAGGGTTGGCATTTATTAGGTGCATTTTATTTTGTTTTGGCTCCTATGCGGAACAACATTCTCCTACACTATACTAAGTTCCAACATGAAAAAGGATTAAAAATGAAAATATAATTGTATTGTTTTTAAGGATTATTTGTATTTTAGTGTAAAGGATATATAAAAATGAGTAGGTTTTTTATATAACCAGGGGTAGAAATAGTATTTGCCTAAAATTTTATATTATATACAAATTTAAATAGTTTAACCTGTTTTCTCAAACCTGAACCCGTTTACTGCTTCGATTTCTGTTTGCTTTCACTATCAATTTATGCCACTGTTGAACTAGTTTTGGATGATAATGTATATGTATACAATTTCTGCTACCGTTT